ATAAAAAAATTGAGAGAGAGAGAGAATCAAATTAACTCAATTTATTAATGGAAAATGGTTTGATAGATCTGCAGCCCTATCAAAAAAGTAAAGCATCTCCTCACAAGCCATAGACAATTGCAATTCAAGCATTGAAAATCCTTTATATCAATCATCCCAGCTTGAACATTATGGTTGTGAATAAAAATTAGGATTTCAAACTCTAATATTGTAACAAATTATCTAGACCGTTTATTTCACCTCAAAAATAAGTGTTCACAAAACCACAAGATCTATACCTTTTTTTAAGTTTCAAACTTTATTATCGGTGTTAGAAATTGATTTTAGAACCATAATAGAGATTTCCATTGGCAAAAGTACTGTTTGGACGAGGATTTGTGGTGAGGCTTTATTTTGTTTTCATAAAGCCTAGGCCTTATAAAAACTTCATCCTTTATTTATATCCATTGGCAGGGAGCATATAAGCTTTTTGCTCAATTTAGCTTTCAAGAACATGATCGTAGTCCCCCTGCATATGGATATTCAGATCAGATTATCCTGTCTCACTTATGTACCAAACTAGCATATAATCAATTTAAAAAGGATATTAGCATGCTTTGATCCTTTCTTTTTTAACATTCAATGATATCGAGATCATAATTAGTGTTCAACAATGACAAAATAATAAACAACCATGAGAAATGAAAAGAAGCATGTGTGGAACCAATCAAATGCATGCACATGTAATCGACCACATAGACAAATAAATCAAATCTCTCTCATCATATGCATCTCAGGGGTGGCAATTGACTCGGATCCGACCCGGGATCCAATCCGGGTTTGAGTAGGGGTCCAAAAATTGGACCTGGCGAGTTGGGTCTAGGTCGAAAGTTTGGACTCGAACTGTATTTGGGTCTGGATCCGGGTCGGGTATGGGTTCGGTAATATTTTCTAGGTCCCAATATATGAAATACATTTAAATATAATTAAATACATAAATATTTTAATTTTTGGGTCCCACATTATACTTTTAGGTCCAGGTCTAGATCCATTGAATTCGGGCATGATACAGGTCCCATATCATTTTTGAGGTCCGATCCTGCATCTGGCCCGACCCGACCCCTTGCCATCCCTAATGTATGTTTCTCATTCTCTCTACAAACGTATCTCTCATTTTCATCAACACTCTCTCTCTTAGGAATAGGCAAACGCCATTTAAGTTTGGATGTACCACAAAAATGTAACATATATTTCATATATTTTTATGAGGATCTTGAGTTTGTGCGTCTATGTTACAATATGAGCCTGATAGCTCGGATTTAATAATTTGGAAGGCCCAAGTGTGGAGGTATTGACATCATTTTTATTTTGCATAAGAGTTTTAACACTTTTTATTGTGCATTTGGATTTTGTGTACCTCCCCACAAAATTTCAGCTTAAAAGGATTATATAAAAATGAAATAGTGATGTGACACACAAGCACCATTCAGTTAAACCAAGCCTCATCTACTAGCAACAAATTTTAAATTTTATTCAATGACTATATTTTTTTAAAACAAAAGTATATAATGAGACTATTTACCTTTGGTACAAAGTGGTCACAATAAATCTTGACTATTGGATATGAAATTGGGTGGTTGCATTTATTTCATTGACCAAACTCAAAGTTCAAAAAAACTATATCAATATCGTTTGAAATTGAAATTGATCAATCAATATATTTATTACTATTGTTAATGGTTATTATTATTTATTTATTAAAAAATTATCAAAATGCTTATAAGAGGTGAAATATGTGACAATTAATAAATTATTATTGTTATTATAATTATATATTATTATCATCAATAAAATTTATATATTAAGTTAAAAAAAAACATGGATGACTAATGTATGGGTTTGGCATTTTGTAAAATAAAGAGATCAAATTTGTAAAAAGAACAAAAAAATATATAATTAGAGGGATAATGGTCCCAAACTCTAAAACTTGAAGGGGTGCAAGGGATTTTAGGTAACCCATGACGTTTATAGGAATGGAAATTTCAGGGAGGAAGATAGATGTCATTTTCCCAAAAAGATAATGTCTCGAGATTGAATAGAGTCTATATTTTTTTTGATTTGTTCGCTTCCTTGATTGTTTCTTTATATCATGTGTATGAGGAAGCTAATGATGTTGATGATACTCTTGCGAAGAGAGGTATAACCTTTTACTTTTTGGTCGTTGCTGATGATGGAATTTCTTTGTTGTAATTTCTTTAATAAAAAAAGTTTGATAAAATGTACGTAAAAAAAAAAAATCTAATTGCTAGAAAATTTAAATTTTAAAATAATAGTCTAATTATTTTAGGTAGTTCCTAAAATTTCAGATTTAAAAAGAGAAATCTCATCCAAATATGTCATCCACCCAAGGAAGTAAGTGTATGTAATGCTCCTGCCCAAGGAAGCAAGCGGATAGTATGCTCCTGCAGGAGCATTACATAGACGCTCGTGATATTTCCCTGAACATTGAAAAGCAATCGGCTTCTTATGTGGACTGTAGAATTCCTCAAGGAAATCGCCGGGACTTGCCTTTTGGGAGGCGGCACGTGCGTCGTTCACTTTGACACGTGTGGATACAACGAGGAAAGTGGACCAAGTGTAAACGCAACGGCCCAAACTGTCTCCTTTTTTAAAACTTTTTATTTTTTATGTAGACCCAACTTCCCACCAACCGTTTTATGCACAAAAATCTAATAATCCAAATAAAAAAAAAATGAGAAAACAAATTATTTCCATTAATTTTCTCCAATTTTCGCATAAAAAGGGAAATTTTTTTAAAATATTATTACAAATTCAAAGAAATAAATGTATTTTATCTACTCCAAAATCCAAAGTCCAAAGTTTGCATTAAAAAAAGAGTATTTTATTTATTCTAGTATAAAAAGGGGAACTTTTTGAAAACGGTTTTAATATTAGTAAATTTTAGGATTTTGTGTTTTGTATTTTATTTTTTGATCTATGTTTTTGTATTTTATTTTTTGATCTATGTATCGGATTGAGCTCAAGTTTAGCAAAATTGATACTAATTACCTAACCAAAATACCTTTAAAATTTAATGAAAAATATAAATGCCAAAATTTAAAACTTAATCATACATAAAAAATAAATTAAAAAATACTTATTATAAAAAATAAAACTCAAGTATCAAATATAAAATATTCAAAACTAGAATTTTAAAAGTAAAGAGGAATTTTCTATTTATTTTATTAGAAACATGGTTTGTCTACTTGTAGAGGAAAATATTTTAGTTCATTTTTATTTTTGAGAAAGAAGGTATTTAGATATATGTGAAGTGAGTATACACTTTGAAGAGGAAATATGACGAGGCAAAAAAAGTTAATCAAGACTCCAATTTATTGAAAATAGAGTCGGAGACCTCAAAAAATCGAATTGGCATCAGAAACCGGCCAAGGGCTGGTTAAAAGTAACTAACAAACCGGCTGGTTAGATCGGCCTAACTGGTCAAATTCCAGCCAGTTAAAAAAGCATTAAAAAAAGAAAAATACAAAAAAATCTAAATTTTTTATGAAAATCATATTTAAAGCATGATTAAACAAAACACATCCCAATAAATTTAAAAATTAGTACAAAATGAATCTTAAAAAAATCTATTTGTGTCTTAGGGTATTTTAAATTTTTTTAAAAAAAATAAAAAAATGTAAAAATAAATATGGATGGCCAAAACACTTTCCAAAATAATAAAAAAACATTTAGAAGCACATTATAAACAAATCCATTATTTTTTGAGATTTTATATCTATTTTTTTTTAATTTCTCGGGGGATCACTCGACCAAAGTTAGAACCGGCTATTCCGATTTAACGGGTCGATTCCGATTTGAACCGGATGATATTGCATTTACCGGTGTGAACAACGACCTTTGACAAGTGAGAGAGAATGAGTTTTTAGAGAAATAATGTGTTTTTTAAGAGAGAGAGAGAACGTCAACAATAGAAAGCCCTCTATTTTTGGGTAATTGAAACAAACCCAACCATTTACTTTCTTAGTTTGGGGTGCTGTTTTCATTATTATTCTTATATTTTCCATGCATTTTCTGTATATAGACTAGAGTCTCAAGGCAGTGAGAGAAAAACCCTGAAAAACATGTGAGAGAAATTCATTTGTTTACTGGGAAAATGATATTTATCCCCTCCCCAAAACATTCATCTTTAATAGTCATTTAGGTTCACCAAAATCTCTTCTACTCCCTCAAATTTAAATTTTTAAGACGGTTAGCCGCCTAATTATATTTTGTTTTGTTTTTTTTTACAAATTTGGCCTATTTATTTTACAAATTTTTCCCTTCCCTTTCTATTGTGTTGCCTAAAACTAATCTTACTTTTGCGGATCCCACTCGATAATTTTAGACATTAAAAAAAAAAAAGAAGATTTTTTTTACATTATGACCTATTTTAGAATTATATCAATATCGTTTGAACTTGAAAAATGATTAATCAAGATATTTGTTACTATTGTTAATGGTTATTACTTTTTATTTATTAAAAACTTTATCAAAATACTAATAAGAGATGACAATTTAACAATTAATATATGATTGTTGTTATTATTGTTATTATTATAATTATTAATTTATTATAATTTATTATCATAAATAAAATTTATTTATCAAGTCAAAAAAAAAAATGGATGACTAATATATAAGTTTGCCAATTTGTAAAACAAAAAAATCAAATTTGTAAAAAAAACAAAATATGTATATATATCTATAAATAGAGGGCTAATGAAGTTTAAAACTTGCTGAGTTCAAGGGAGGGGTTATTAAAAATGAAAATTTCAGGGTAGGGGATTAGACGTCATTTTTCGTTTATTTACATTTTCTCTCTCTAAACTCGAGTAAAAATTCGAGAAGCAAATATTTTCTCTCTCTAGAAGCTCGAGAAAAATAGAAAAAAGCCGTTTAGAAACGGTTTCTCTCTCTAGAAACAGGGTAGAGAGAGAGAGAGAGTTGATAACGAGGTGGGGAGAAGAAGAAGACTGAAAATCTTCCAAAGACAAGAAGTGTCGGCAGCCACTGCGCGCCATTAACGCCACAAAACCGCCCATAAATACCACCTCTCAACCCACCCAAAACTACCACTCCTTTCACAATGTCTCCATCTGTGAGGACCCATTGCTCTCTCTTCTTCTTCTTCTTCTTCTTCTTCTCTTTCTCTCTCTACTCTGCTCAAAACGCCCCATTTTCCAGCGCACAATGGCAGCAAGCCACTGCAACCTGGTATGGTAGCCCTGATGGCGATGGAAGTGATGGTAAGTCTAGAGAGAGAGAGATTGTAGTCCTTTTCATGAAAACAGCACCCATTGCGGGCAACAGAGAGACAAAGAGGTATTTCGAAGAGAGAGAAAGTGAGAGTAGTTCTTACAAATACCCATAGAGAGAGAGTGTGTGATTCTTTTCAGAATCACAACAACAGAGAGATAGAGAGAGGTAATTTTAGAAAAAACCCAGAGAAAGAAAGTAATGTCAGAGAGAGAAAGAGCCTTGCACTCACATTAAGTCAGAGAAAAGAGAGCTCTCTGCATTTGCATTAAGTGGGAGAGTTTGAAGTAGCTAAAATGGATCATTCATATGCATTTGTGTGCTTTGTTTTGTGAAGGTGGAGCTTGCGGCTATGGAACACTTGTAGATGTGAGGCCACTGAAGGCTCGAGTCGGGGCGGTGAGCCCGGTCCTCTTCAAGGCTGGCGAGGGCTGCGGCGCCTGCTACAAGGTGAAATGTCTCGACACGAACATGTGCTCGAGGCGGGCCGTCACCATTATCGTCACCGATGAGTGCCCGGGTGGATACTGCTCCGGCGGGAAGACACACTTCGATCTGAGCGGCTCCGCCTTCGGGCGCATGGCCGTCGCCGGGAATGGCGGTTCACTGAGGAACCGAGGCGAGATTCCGGTCATTTTCAGGAGGTGATTTTTTTTCTTCTCTCTCTAGACATGGTTTTGAGGTGTTTGTTTGAAAAAGGTTGGGAGTGAGTTCTCTGTTTTTTTTGGTGGTAAATTTATTTATTTTATTTTGGTTTTCTATTTTCTTTCTTGGTTTAGTAATGTATTATGTTCCCCAAAATGGTTTTTCGTTGTCGAGTTTTCACTTAGTTTATTTGGTTTTCTTTTTACTGTTAATTTTTCCTGATTTATGTTTTTTTTATTTATTGATTTTTCCAAATTTAGCTTATTCCATTTGGTTTTATGGTTTTTTTGGGTACTAATTTTTCCAATTTTTTTTTAATTTTCCCAGTTTATTTGGATTTTTATTTATAATTTTCCCATGGTTTATTTGTGTTTCTAGTAGAAAATTTTCCTACTTTATTTGGTTTAATTTTCCTAGTTTATTTGGATTTTTATTTATAGTTTTCCCATGATTTATTTGTGTTTTTAGAAGCAAATTTTCCTACTTTATTTGATTTATAGGGTTTCTTGAGTTTTTGACCGAGAATGCTAATTTTGGTTTTCTAGGGGTAATTTTAAATTAATTATTTAGATATAAACTGTATTTGGGGCCACTTTTTAGTTAGGTTTCTTAAGATTTTTATTATATATTTTCTCATAGTAATTTTTTTTATTTAGAACTTTTTTGTTTAGGTAAATAGGAATATAGCGAATTTTCTAAAGTAAGAAGAAAAATAGCAAAGTCTCTCCTATTTGATGGCTAGATTCTTGTCATTTAAATTGGTGAACTGGTTTTGTTGTGTGTGTGTGTGTTTCTTTTTGGTTTTACAATTTTTTTGAAGGGTGCAGCTGGCATACGAATTCATCTGTAGCTGTAGAGCTAAGGTGCACATTCAAATTAAATTTTATCATGATATATAATTTTGATGTAAAATATTTTTAGGATTATCTCAAAATCTATTTTTATGTTTAATTATAAAATTTTAAATTTCAAAAATGGTTAAACTCAAGTAGATCTATAAACACATGAAAATCTTGAAAATTGATGGTGTAGATAATATGTTGTAAAATACACTATTTTTTATACTTAAAATCCTTTTATTTTTCGTGGCCATACATCTCAACATCGAGATGATCAATCAAAGGGTTTTTCAACATTAAAACTACCCTTTCCGATGGAAATTTTGAGGTGTATCCATAGTTTTACCTTATAAGGTTGCATCCTTATACAAACTTTTTCCTTTTTTTGAAACTCCATAACAAACGAAGTCAAAAGGAAATTTGTCGAAGATGAACTATTTGACATGTCACTTTTTTAATTTTATGTAAAAGAATTTCATCTCAAGACACATGAGCATGAAGACATATAATCATGTGCAATCATGAGCTAATATATAAGTTCAACCCTACGAAGTAAGTAAAGCATCACCTCATAACTTATCAATGATTACAATTCAAGTATCGGAAAGCTTTTACATCATCTCGACTCAAACATTAAAGTTATAAAAAAAAATTAGATTTCAAGCTCTAAAAATAGTGTATGTAATAACAAATTATTTAAACCATCCATTTTACCCTAGAAATAAGTGTTCACATATGAGAAAGATTTGTACCATTTTTTTAGTTTCAAAGTTTATTATTGGTGTTGAAAATTGATTTTAGAGCCAACATAGAGATTTATTTTGCCTAAAGGTTTTTTGGGGATTTGAGGTGAAGCTTTATTTTGTTTTCGTAAAATCCTAGACGGTATAGAAACCTCATCCTTTAATAAAATTTCCCTTAACTAATTATTTGTACTTGTAGGCTTATTATTATAAACTTTTCCACCATTATGGCTAGAAAGTTCTTACTCATTGTTTATGGGTGCGGTTTCAATAAGGTTACAACCTTAAACAATCCAATTAAGGCGCACTTCTAAATTTTATTATAACATGTAATTTTGGTATAAAAAGTTCGTAGGATTATCTAAAAATGGTATTTTCATATCTAATTATAAAATTTTAAACTCCAAAAATAGTTAAAATCATGTAAATCTATAAAAAATGTGAAAATCTTGAAAATGGACGGTCTAGATAATGTGTTGCAAGATGCACTATTTTTACAACTTAAAAATATATTTTTTTAACATATTCATATATCTTGATGTCAAGATGATCAATTAGAGGGTCTTTCAACATTAGAATAACCTTTTTCCAATGGATTTTTGTGGTGCATATGTATTTCTACATTTTAAAGTTGCAACCGTATATAAACTTTTCCTTTTATTTATTTATACAATATGACTATTTGATTTTTAAGTCATCATCACCGTTGCCTTTGAATGTGAAATTGTGCGGTTAAACTTGAAGTCTTAACTTAAAATTATAACTTGAATTCCGTGACACATTTTAAGGTGTAAAATTTCACATCTAACAATTATGGTAATTACAACTTTATTGTACCAAAAGTAGATGGTCGCAAAGAGTATAATATTTCTATTTATTTATTTTATTCAACAGAACCAAGTGCAAGTATCCAGGAAAAAACATTGCCTTTCATGTAAATGAGGGATCAACAGAGTATTGGCTCTCACTATTGGTCGAGTTTGAAGACGGGGATGGTGATGTTGGATCCATGCAGATCAAAGAGGTATGTTCACTTCGTTGTTATTGGAAAAAGGAAAGCATTTCTATTTTCCTCCACACATAATTTTACATATATTTTATGTGCTTAGAGACCCACATATGTCTAAACAGTTGTAGTTGAAGGTGAGTCGAAAACAATGATACATAACTATGCTACTCAACCATAACTAATATGTAAAATTATTATCAATTTACTCTTAGATTTTTTTATTAAATATATCCCCAAACATATATAAATTTAGAGTATAAGTGTGTGGAGTCTCATGAAAAATCTACCAAAAATTTCCTTTACTTTGTTTCAGTATTTCAAAATCTTGGTAAATGTGGTAGATCCTTCACCCCACAAATAATATAAAGTCGTAACTAATCTTTCTAATCAAGCAATCGTTTTTTTTACTAAATGAGTAAGCAATTATCATCATCGTTTATTTGATCCTTATCACAATTATTTGAGCTTGATTACACGAATCTTAATTTTAACATTTATGAAACAAATGTGGCTAAAATTTTAAGGGGCATGGAACCTAACACAACCATTTTTTTTTTTTGTTTTTTGTGCAGGCCGGTTCAGGGACATGGTTGCAAATGTCTCATTTGTGGGGGGCAACCTGGTGTTTCGTGGGGGGTCCACTTTCAGGTCCCTTGTCTGTGAAAATAACGACTTTATCAAGCAAAAGAAGTCTCTCTGCAAGGGACGTTATTCCCCGTAACTGGTCTCCCAAGGCCACTTACACTTCTCGCCTTAACTTTTTCTAATATTTTCTGAAGTACCCCTCAATCACAAAAAAACTAAAAAGACAAAGAGAGAGGGGAAAAAAGGAAAAGGAAAGTAGCCGTTGGGATGTTTTCAAGTAGTCGTTAGTCAAGTGAGCTTGTAGCCGTTGAACTAAGGGATCTAGACCCCTCTCTCTCTCTCTAGAGACCCACTTACCTTACAACAATCTCTCTCTCTCTCTTACTTCAATCTTATTATTAAGTGGACTCTCTCTCTCTCTCTCTTACTTCAATATTATTATTAAGCGAACTCTCTCTCTCTCACCCCCCTAATTTGGGTCTCTATCCCTGTTTTGGGTCTCTCTCTCTCTAGGATTCTTATTAAGTGGGTTCTCTTCTTTTTTTAGTGCAACCAAAACCCTTGGCCCCTAGTTTTTCCTTAGTTTCTCCATTTTGGGTCTCTCTCTCTCTATCTCTAACCTTGGTTTGGGTGTCTCTCTCTCTAGGGTGGGGGTGAGTGGTCCCAAACCCTTGGCCCTTGTGGGGGTGTGAATGGTCCCAAACCCTTGGTCCTTGTTGGGCTTTTGTTTTTAGTAATAGGCCCCTTTTCTAACCTTGGTCTCTCTATTTTTTGGGGTTTATTTGTGGGAATAAAATAAGGTTTTGGGTTTTGGATTGTTGTTAAAAGGTTGTAAAAGTTTGTATTTGATGCCGGCCCTCCTAAGGAGCGAGCATGGCCCTTTGCAATGTTCAATGAAGTAGCATTTGTCTTTCCTTCATCTTCCCTCTCTTTGTGTGTGGAAAAAGCTAACAAACACTGACTGCTAACGAGTACTTGATCTAAAAACAATACAAACTAAGGGTCCAAATGTTTTTTTATTGGAATTATTATTTTTAGTTTTTAAAATTTACTTCTTTTTATTTTCATGATCTCCTTGTTAGAGATTGCATGTTCTTAAAAGTTAAGTCCAAAAATCTATCTAAACAATAAATTTATTAATAGGCCTGGATTCTACATATGCAGGCTTGACTCCATAGAAACCAGGTCCTATATATATATATAGAAAAAGAGAGAGAAATAAATTAATAACCATGACCAATCTTTTTGCTTGTGTTGAAAGAGAGAGACCGCTTAATTAATAAACATGAATCTTTATGTTTATTTATGGAGTAATGATCCTATGAGACCCTCCCACACCCATGTGTGTAGGACTTCAAAAGATCACCATTAAATTCGGTATAGATCATTTAGGATCCTATACACATGGGTATGGGAGATCTGATCCTTTGAGATCCAACAAACATAGGTGTGGGAGGGTCTCATAGCATCATTACTCTTATTTATGAGTGAAAGAGAAAGACTTGAGGTCCTACACACATAGGTGTGGGAGGGTCTCCTAGCATCATTGCTCTTATTTATGAGTGAGAGAGAAAGACCTCAAGTCATACACACATAGGTGTATTGGAGGGTCTCATAGCATCATTACTCTTATTTATTATGAGTGAGAGGGAAAGACTTTATGAGTGAGAGAGAAAGACCTACTTTATGAGTGAGAGAGAAAGACATGAGGTCCTACAAAGGGTCTCATAACATCATTACTCTTATTTATGAGTGAGAGAAAAAGACTTTATGAGTGAGAGAGAAAGACCACTTAACAATCATGAGTCATTTTATGTGCGTGCATGTGAGAGAGAGTGTATTTAGGAATCGAGCTTGGTCTCAAGTTCTATTTCTATGTAACCTTGTGTGAGAGAGAGTGTCCAATTATTAATAAACATGAATCCTTATGTTTGTTTATGGGAGTGTGCATGAATGAGAGCAAGGTTTGAAAATTCAACGATCTGGAACGGAAATTGTCAACATATCGAATTTGGAACGGAAATTGTCAACATCTCGGGACATATCGGGATCTGGAGAGTGTGTGTTTAGGAATCGGGCTTAGTCTCAAGTTCTATTTCTATGTAACCTTGTGTGAGAGAGAGTGTCCAATTATTAATAAACATGAATCCTTATGTTTGTTTATGGGAGTGTGCATGAATGAGAGCAAGGTTTGGAAATTCGACGATCTAGATAAGAAATTGTCTTAACATATCGGGATCCGGTTGGCATTTTCTACACTTGAATAAATACATGTTAGCATGAGGCTTGCCATGTGCCAGCAGTGAGTTGGGTGGCTAAGCCTTTTATAAAGCCATTTGTTTCTCTAAATGCCCGATGTGGGGTTTTTTTTAGGTTCTTCTGTCTACCGCATGAAATCTAGTGAGCTGCACGAAACATTTGGCTTGGGAGTCCTATTTTTGTTCTCTCTCCTCCCAACCTTAGTGTCTCTATCTCTACTAGCAACCTTTATCTCTCTCTCTCTACAAAGTTTGTTTTATTAATAATTCCACTAAATTTTCTCTCTATCTACTAAGCAGTACAAATAAATAATTCCACTAAAACTCTCATCTCTCTCTCTCTATTTCTCTCTCTCTCTATCTTCCCCTTCTATGTTTTATATAGCTTCTTTCAAAAATCAAAACTTCTAAGTTAATACAACAATAAAATAAATAAATTGAGTTAGAGATATTCATTATATGATCATGTTGCGTTTTAAACTTTATTTTGATTCTAAAATAAATTTAATTGGCAACAAATACTCAACACAAGACATGTTCTCAATATTTACATATTTTTAACATAATAATGAAAAATCGTAATGCAATTGCCACTATTTCTTTTAAAAATCTAAAAAACTAAAATTTTGAGAAACTATAGTATTTTTTGAAACTTTTTTGGGCCAAAAAAACTAACCGATTCTCCAATCCGAATCACCGATTCACTAATCCAATATGATTATTGGAGTGATCGCTCTAATAACCGATCCATTTTTTTTTTGAACTTTAAATGAGAGAGAGAGGAGGGGGGGGCATCTCTCCCTTGAGTGAAACATGATGATCATGAGAGAGAGAGGCACAAGGCCCAACCCAAGCAGCACAAATGGGTAAAATATATATTTTTGTGTTTGTGATTGTGAGAGAGACCCATCAACGAGTGTTAGCCAAATATTTGTTGTGTTTGAGAGAGAGAGAGAGTATGAATAGGCCACATGCATTCTATCCAAACAATAATGCAAGTTAGGACTTCCCAATTGGGAGGAGCCTTGCATTCAAAGTGGAATAGTGTTATTGCACATGGACCCCTGACACCCTCTCTCTTCTATACCCTAGAGAGAGAGAACCCTAGAGAGAGAGAGAACCCTAGAGAGAGAGAGACGAACCCTAGAGAGAGAGAGTGGGAACATGGCTCGGATATTTTGAGTTAAGTTCGACTTGTCAGGTGGAAATAAAGACATGAAGAGTTTGACAAAGCAATCTTTTATCTTCTTTTTCACACATAAGCATTCATGTGCATAGAGAGAGAAGTTTTTAGAGAGAGAGTGTGAGTTTTAAGCATTCATGTATAGAGAAAGAGAGTGTGTTTTTAGAGAGAGAAGAGAGTGAGTGAGTTTTTAGAATGAAACTCATGGAGAAGAGAAGGTACTTTCTCTGAAAATGGCCAAAAGATTTTCCCCCGCAGCAGACAATAGGAAAAACAACATCGAGAGTGATGGAGATGTAAAAAAGGGAAAATTCTAGAAATGATAAAATAAACATTTTACTTCTTTTTTTTTTTTTAGCATAAAAAATAAATAAACATTTTATTTTGAACCGTTAAAGTACCACCACCTCTAAATCTCGCTAGAAGATGCAGTTTCTGTGCTGGCAGTCCTTACGACAGCCCGACAATTTATTTTTATCTCAAATTATAAAATTTCAAGCTTAAAAAATAGTGCAAATTGTTTAGATTTGTAGATAGTTAGAAGTCTTAAATATGGACGGTACAGATAATGTGTTACAAGGTGCATTATTTTTAGGAATTGAAATTTTTTTATATAAGGTATCATCCTTCTACTATTAGAGCAATGCGCAACTAAAAAACTATCGAAAAAGGTTGTTCTGATATTAGAAAACTTTGAAATTGATTATCTCGACTTCGAGATGTATGGATATGAGAAAAAAAAAAAGATGAAGAGAATTTCAAATAATAAAAATAGTACATCTTGTAATGTACTATCTGGATCGTCCATTTCTAAAATTTTAATTGTTTATGGATATTGTCAATTTACACATTCTTTGAGCTTTATCTTTCATAATTAGGGGGAACAATAGATTTCATACCATCGTAAGGCTTTCTGGCATCGAAACTGCTTCTTTCAACATAATATTGAAGTGCACTTTATTTTAATTGTTTAAGGTTGAGGTCTTGTATAAAATTTGCTCTTTTATATCTATACATATATCAAAATTCTGGATGATCAATTGGAAGGTTTTTCAACATCAAAACAAATGTTTTCTAGCGTGTTTTACATATATGCCTTGCTTCTACAATATAAATATTTTTCTTTAATTTTGAAAATAAAAATGACACAATCACTCCGAACCATCAAATGTAAAATAAAAAACTTAGGGTGTACCATAGACTAAGTTGAAAGTGTGAGATTCTGTGCAAAAGCAGACATCCAACGGTTTAAAACCATCCAAACAAATCCTCTTATTTTTCCCACAACTACATAAGTTATCAATTCTCTCTCCACCTTTCGCCTCTTTCTGTCTATGTTGATAGAAAAGGACGAACTGTTGAAAGTGGCAGTAGGAGAGGAGGGCCAAATAAAGGAAAATGGTTTGATAGGGCTGCAGTTCTATCAAAATAAGTAAAGCTTCACCTCCTAACTCATCCAAAATTGTAATTCAAGTATGAAAAATGTTTATATAAAGGTGAGGCCCTAAACAATCAAATTAAAGTGTGCCTCAAAAGTTCACTACAAGAGGTTGTTTTGATGTCAAAAAATCCTCAAATCCATCATCTTGACCTCAAGATGTACAGACATGAGAACAAATGGATTTCAAGTCTTGGAAATGATGCATCTTGTAATGCATTTTTTGGAATATTTATTTTCAAGATTTTCATGTGTTTATTGATCTATATTATTTTTTAAGCTTTAAATTTTTTAATTAGATATGAAAATAAATTTTCAGGCCATCACAAAGATTTACAGCCTTTAAACAACATCTTTCGGCACTTTAAGCCAACTCAGAATTATGTGAAACTTTGGGATGAGATATATAATGCCTCAAATATGCTTTTCCAAGACTTTCAAACCAATCCCCAAAATATCAAGTTTGAGATTATCAGTTAAGATATATATTGACCGTCAATGAGTATGGATGATGGGTTAAACTAACTCTAAAGAATATCCAACTTGTAGAGGCACATGAGGCCTCATGGAATTTATTTTCATTAATACACCACATTGTGATATCACATGGTGAGGTTTCTTTATGCTCTGTTTGTCAAACACTATCCTCGACAGATGACGGATTCAAAAGATATATTCGACAGATTTTATAAGAAGACAAAAAGAATGGAAATTTTATCGGGAAAATTACAAAAAAAAACAACCTAAAATTGACTATCTATGCAACTTACCCCACCCCAATCTTTTCTCTTACTTTTTTCCCCCAAGCACCCTTTCCTCACAAATAACCCCCACACATGAAATAAGACTAAACTACCATTGTTTGTTTTCACACAGCTTTCTCTCTCCTGCTTTCACACGCGCTCTGACAGTACAAACACATGCTCCGGCATTTTGAATGTATGCTCCGACAATGCAGATCTAAGCTGCAGCGTTCCGGCATTATGAGAACTCGCTCTGGTAGTGCAAAAACGTGCTCCAGCATTCCGCTTCAGCAATGAAATCTCTGAAGCCACAACGCTCCTGCAATAAAGGACCGCACTCCGGCATTCTGAATGTGCGCTCTAGCAATGCAAGTCTGAGCCACAGCGCTCCGCCAGTATACTATTTGGGACCCGCAAATTGATTTGGTTTGTGCGAGAAGGACATTTTTGTTCAAAAAAAAGCAACTTTTTTACCTTGGGGGTTTTTGCGAGAAAATGTTGTCTTGAAGGAAAAAGTGAGAGAAAAAATTGGGGTGAGGGTAAGTTGCATAGTCCATTTTAAGGTGTTTTTTGTAATTTTTCCAATTTTATTATACCCCATACCATCCTTCCTAGACTAACCTTGGGACGACGTTTCTTTCAAGCACGTAGAGAGCGCAGTGCGAATGTTTTTTGAGATTTTGCTAGTTTAAAGAGGTCACAACTCCAAAATGTAACGTCCAAAGTAATCCTGGATATTGATTTACATTGACCAAATAGACAATATTCTCCCACTGGAAATCAATAATAGCTTCAAAGTAATAATATATTAGTCTACATAAATTTATAGAAAAGTCCTTTTTGATTTTTAGAATTTAAAAATATTTCAATATATTTTAAATTTTACACTCATGTCTCACTTTTGAGATCATAAAGTGTATTTCAATTTTATCTCTTTTTTTATACATAGGATTAAGCTAAAATCTGGTAATTCCATACTTTTGACTATCATGAACCTACAAAAAAAGATTCAAAACATAATTCAAAAATTATAAATAACTACGATACTCAAAATTCAGATAGATGAAATAGCCTCAGCACATTCACAAACTGCAGAGAATGACTGTTAGCCGTTGGCGCCAAAAAACTAATGGTCCAAGACCAACCAATTTGAATGCCCTAGAATACAAAGCAACCCAACAACTTTGATCTCTCTCTCTCTCTTGTCCACCCCTCATGGCCACCATCCCTCATAACCCCTTCTTGAAACCAATCCCCCCTCAAGATTCCATACCCAGAAAACACAGGCAACCTTCCAACTCGTCAACCGCAATCCAAGCCATGGCACCATAAACCAGTTGCAAACCCTGTAATTACTTCTCGGTTCCCGATTCCCTTCACGCTTTCCTGAATTCCGGACAAATAAAAACTGCCCTCCATCCCTTTCACAGAATGAAATCCTTAGACCTTCTCTTGTTGAACATAATGATCAAAGGCTATGTCCAAAATGGATTCTTCCATGAAGCCATTGAATTTTATTACCAAATGCAATCTAATGGTGTCAGTCCAGACCATTTCACCTACCCTTTTGTTCTCAAAGCCTGCTGCTATCTTATCTAATATAGCAGAAGGGAAGAAAGTCCACTGTAAATTGCTCTACGGTTAGATACTGCCCTTTTTGTTGCTAATTCTCTCATAACAATGTACTGCAAATGCAAAGAAATAGAGGCTGGGGAATTGGTATTTGATGAAATGCCAGATACAGATATTGTTTCATGGAATTCCCTAATAGCAGGGTACGCTTCCAATGGTTATGGACATGAAGCCCTTTTGTGCCTCGGAGAAATGCAACTCTTTGGGTTCGAACCAGACAGGTTCACCCTGCTTTGCACTCTCCCTGCAAGCACACTTGATAAATCTAGGGTTTATGGCATAGAGATACATTATTAGGGTGTTTACCGGACCCAATGCTCAAAACATCACTTCTTGACATGTATTTCAAGTGTGGGGACACAAGGGCTGCTGAGGGGCATTTTGGCAAGATCTCAATGAGAAACTTGGTAACTTGGAACACATTGATATCTGGTTATGCTCGTAATAAGCTAGCCCAAAAGGCAATTGATTCATTCTCCAAGATGCAAATGCAAGAAAAGTTATGTCCTGATCCAATCACAATCGCGAACTTGCTGCCAGCTTGTGCACATATAGAAGCTCTATTGCCAGGGAAATCCATTCATGGGTTCTCACTGAGAAAAGGGTTTCTGTCACTAATCAAAGAAATGAAAGGAGACCAGTTTTGCTCCCATCTGGTATTGGAAACTGCTTTGCTGGACACATATGGACACATATGCCAAATGCAAGGAGTTAGAGTATGCTCAAAAGCCATTTGAAAGGATGGTTGAGAAAACTTGGTCTCTTGCAATGCAATGATTGCTGCTTATGCACAAAATGGGCAAAACAAAGAGGCTATAGCACTGTTCCATAGCCTATGGCATGTGCCTATGGAGCCGGATGCAACCACCATTGCAAGTGTCATATCAGCTTGTGGTGAGATAGTGTCTCTCCAAGAAGGGAACCAGATCCATGGTTATGTGGTAAATCAGAGTTGGGCTTGGATACTTTCATCCTGAATTCCCTCATTTATATGTACACAAAATGTGGCAATTTGCAGCTTGCAAGAAGAGTTTTTGATGGAATTCAGAGCAAGGATGTGGTGTCATTGAATGTCATCATCATGGCATACGGGATCCATGGGTATCGGCATGATGCCCTTGAGCTCTTCTCTATGATGAAAAACATCATAACACCAAATGGGAGCACCTTTGTCTCGGTTTTAACATCATGTAGCCATTCTGGTATGGTAGATGAAGGACGGAAGCATGTCAATTCGATGCAAAATGACTATGAAATTGACCCTTGGATAGAGCACTATGCTTGCATGGTCGACCTCCTCGGTCGTATTGGATGCCTGGACCAAGCGGAGATTTTCGTCAGGCAGATGCCTACAAAGCCCACACCAAGAATATGGGGATCTCTATTAAAAGCATGTAGAATTCATGGCCACATAGAATTAGCGGAGTGTGTAGCCAAAAACTTGCTTAAATTAGAACACGACAACACCGGCTGTTATATACTTCTCTCCAACATGTATGCAGCAGCAGGGAGATGCGAAGATGTTGAAGAGGTGAGATTGACAATGAGAGAGAAAGGGTTGGAAAAGACGAGGGGGTGCAGTATGGTAGAGTTGAGCAGCGACTTGCAGTTTCGTATATGGGGAAAGAGATCACCCATAATCTGAGACAATTTATACAGTGTCAGGTATTTTGTCCAGGCTTATAGGTGAATTAGCATATAGCCCAGGGACCAAGTTTAGACTGCAAGATATAGGGAAGAAACGAGCAAATTTACCCACTAACCATAGCGTAAGACCGGCGCTTAGTCTTGGGTTGATCTCTTCCACTATTGGGACACCCAACCATATTAGAAAGAATGTTCGGTTATGTGGAGATTGTCACCATGCTCTAAAGATGATTTCTGAGAAAGTTAAGAGAGAGATTATTGTGAGGGATCCCATACTGTTTCACCACTTCAGAGATGGATATTGCTGCTGTGGTGATTATTGGTAATAAATAAATAAGAATCCTGGTTTCTAAGGACCAAGGCTTAAGTAATAATTGTGACTAGCTTTGAGGTCACGAGCTTCAATGAAGGTGTGGAGCTCTTCATTTCCACCCATAGGCTCTGGGTTGAATCCCAGGTAGCCTATGCACACATCTAAAAAGACAAAAGAGATGAGTAAAAATATGAGTCAGCTCAAATGCTCGACTGTCACAATACATTTGGATCAAGATATAAAAAAAACTGAAAAGCCCCCTCCTATTCTCCACTAAAGCATGACATTATGCAGATGTTGTACTTGAATAAAAACATATTGATACTCTACCATCAGCATTTGTCGTTTAGATGTTCAATTCCTTGTAAAACTCAACCACGTATCTAGTTCCATGAGATAGGGTAACGCCGTCATATATTTGATCCTTCCCAGATATGTTTGCAAGTGAGATAATTGTCTCTTCAACATTGCCGCATCTCTTTTCGAGAGCCGATTAAATCGACCCATCTTTTTGTTCTGCTCTCAAGTCCCTGAACTTATGAAGTCTTGTTTCTGTAGTGGACCATACAAAATTACCGTGTTTATATCAGCAGGTTTAGCCAAATTCAATTCATCGCTATGTTTATGTACTACAAGTGAAAATAGACTTTCAGTATATTTCTAAGGGCAGCAGATAGATGTAGATTCCTTCCAAAACCAATACAAACTGCCTCAAGCCCTCAACAAATCAAGCAAACACCCAGGTGCTGATCTTTAGAAAGCCTCAAATAACACACTCCATGGCAGTTACTCATACATATCCGTAACAGCATATGATTGACTTGTTATCTGGAAAGTTCATAACCAACAAAAAATGCAAAATTAGCTAATGAATGGATAGATGGTGCTTGGGGATTCCAGAAAACAAAACCTTAACAAGAAGTGTGATTCAAGCAAGAGGCAACATCCCTTATGTTACTTCTTAAACTTTCAATTAAACATGTTCTCTTTTTTTAATCAAATCAGTTGAACATGGTCAATAGAATGGAAATTCAATAAGCCATCATATACATCTGGTATCTTGCTAATATAGCTCATAAGTAAGAGCCGAAATAACCATAATAAATCCTTCCTGCCAGGTAAACATAGTACACTTACAAAGAGTTTAACTTGCACAAAAGTTGGACCAAATATCACAAATGACTGGTCTAATCTATAGTCCTCAATCCAGCTAATAACAATTTCACCAGCATTGTTTGCGATTCCTTAGCTGATTGAATGCTTCAACTGTCTCTCCCTTCCTCTCCTTCATCCCTTCCTCCCTGCCCCCTTGTATTTATACACGTTGTGTGTGTCCATAGTAAAACAGCAGTTTTACATTATGAGTACTTGTCATAGGTAGACTTTTCTTGTTCTCTTCTTTTATTTGGTTCATGTGGGCAAGTATCTTGATCATTTGTACTTGTAACACTCTTAGACAAAGTTGATGAGACACTTCCTTCGTCAAATTATCCACAATTTAATGTGGTTTAGAGCCCAAGAACGACCAGCAAAGTGTGCACACACATTTGTAGAAGTTGTTTGGAATTCTCTGCCAATTGAAGACTGCTATGACAGGACCAGAAGATAGGATTCAAGAGCAAATGATCCTAAATAAATGCTGCAAGATCCTTGGGCCATTTCAAAACCAATTTACCTGTTGAACAAAAATCATGAAGGACCTTATGTCTGGAGTAAATGTAATTAGATATGGCCAAATCCGAATAAATTAAAAAGTGTATTGCTTGCAGGTAGTGTACATCAGATGTCTTACATCAAGAATCACAAATCTTGACATTTTGAACCACAAAAGAGGACAAATCTTGACATTTTGAACCACAGAAGAGGTTGACACATTAAAGTAAATAGGAGAACAGTAATTCCAAAAAGAAAAAAGAAATATTCCAGAACAATTGGAAAATTATATTTTCCCACATGTGCAAGAACACAAAAATGTAGGTTGTTGATACTTGCAAGTGTGACAAAGCACATATCACTAGTGTGAAGTCATGGGCCAAAGGCCTTACCTATTGATTAGATTTAAAAAATAAATTGTATTTGTAATTATTTGTTAAGCAAAAGATTTCTGACATGTTTACCAAGTATGAACAAGATACATGCCAAAACTGTCAAGTGCAAGTATGCAAGGCAAATATGGCCCATGTTTTTGAGGAAGATCCAATGAGCAATTATTGAGTTCCACCAATGTTGGGGTTCACATTCTAAAAGTAGTCATCAGTGTTCGAAATTCAGTGTGTCCGAGTTGGAGTCACTCGAGTTGATAGGGCTCAACAGCCTACAGAATCTGGAACACAAGCCTTTGGAACCGTCCAAGTTTTGCCAGTTCCCAAGGTTTTATTGTTAATGTTTCAAGACTCGGTCAAATTCTCTAACCAAGTTGGCTGAAACCAAGTTGCCCGACTCAGGCTCAAGACCCTGGCAAGTCCCAAACTGAGTCCCTTGCTTTAAGAAAACTGGTAGTAATGACAGTAGGATATCGTATTCCTTCAATTTTGGACAACAAATCTACTACTATTTAGATTATCTACAACTTTTGCATTTTCGAAATTACTATTTAAAATTGACAGAAATACATAAGAGTCCTTTCAAATTTTATATTAAAAAACATGGGAGATCAATCTAGAAAAAGCAACATAAGTAGGAATAGATCAAAGGGGAGAAATGATGTAAATCGCTAATCATCCTATTGTATCAGTGGTTAGGGGACTCAGAACTAGAATTCATTCAGGATGAGAAGGCCTAGGCTTTATGAAAACAAAATAAAGCCTCACTTGAAATCATCATCCGGAAAGCACCATCAGCAATGGAAATCTCCATGATGGCTCTAAAATCAATTTCCAACGGCGACAATGAAATTTGAAACTCAAAAAATGGTACAAATCTGCAGATCTATGAACACTTACTTTTAGGACGAAATGAATGGTCTAGATAATTTGTTACCATATACACTTCTTTATTTGCTTTTTATGAAGTACCATATACACTTTTTTAGAGCTTGAAATCCTATTTTTTTTCACAATCATAATGTTCAAGCCAGGATGATCAATGTAAAGGTTTTCTAATTCTTGAATTGCAATTTCAATGAGTTATGAGGTGAGGCTTTACTTATTTTGATGGGGCTGCAGCCCCATCAACCCATTTTCCATTAATGATTTGAATCCTAGGTCAATGCCCGATAGAAAGAGGCAGTGTTTTTTGAATAAAAGGATCGGTGGGGTGGATCGTCCACCCACCAATCCGGTGTCAGATCACCAGATTGCCAATCCAGATCAGTTCAAATCGGCAATCCAAAAAAAATAAAAATTAAAAGAGAGGTTTACGAGATATGATTTACTAATATACCTAAGGAAACATTTAAAAGTTTAAAAAGGAAAAAGGATAGAAAGGGGGGTTTTTAAGGGGAGACCAGGCCAGAACCAATCCCTTCCCAAACAACTTCGATCTCGACCGATTCCTGGTCCGGATCGGGCAAATTCCTAATCCAATTGTGATTTTCAAATTACTGGAGAAAAGAATAGGCCATTGACTCTTGTTGACCGAACACAAATTTCTTAAAGAAACTTGGAAATTTGGGTCTCTAAGAATGTAAGATGATTATGTGCAGGATATAATCAATATAACATCGATATTGGGATCCCTTGCACCCCACTGCCAAATGAAACCTGATGTAGTGTAACATAGAAGTTCCATTACTGTCAAGTAAATATGAAGTCGAACGAATCTAGATATTATCAGTTAGATTAAGAAAAATGTATTACAAACATGGCAAATTTCATTCAGGGATACTATTTGATGGACCTTTCAGATGCAAATGAAAATATGAAATCTTCTGTGTGCAATCCAAATAGAACAAATACTAGGACTTCTCATGGCACTAGACCAAAATTTGAGCAGATTGTGGCATACCCATTGAACCATGCCATTATTGGAGGATTAGCAAGCAAACATGTTGACCATGGGACCAGACCAAGTTTTCTAACGAACGATAATGACAACAACAAAAAACAAACAAAAAATGGAATGAGAAAAGAACTTCATATTCAGTTCGTTGCACTACAAACATCCCTATCCTCACATGAAACCACTGGTTGCATTTTAATCATAACCAAGAACGAATTATAATAGAAAGATAAGTCTTAAACTGAAAATAAAGTGATAAGGTTATTGAGGGTTAAGAACCAATAAGCCTCCATAGAAAGTGACACAACCACACATGAGATTTAACATTATTACAAGGCAACAGGATAGAACACAATTGAACTAGCTAATTACCCTTTACAAAGGCTTGACTACAAACCATGTAAGATAGAGGGTTGTAATACACCAGACTTTCAAACCAATTGTTTCATAACACCCATCCCAATTGTTCATCCATTCTGTGATTGGATGCATCTTTCAACAACCCAAAACCAATGAACAAAAATAAATAAAATCCCTAATCCTATCTACATCATAGGGTCAGATTTCAAAAATAAACATTCCTCTTTATGTCTATATCAGCATCCCTCTAAACCATCCATTTAATTAAATGGACTGTAAATCAGTTACAAGGCTTCTCCTCTTCCAGGAGGAAACCTGCGAACTCCCAGATGCAATATGTAGATAAAATTTAGTCCTCTGTGCACGAACCCTGTGTGAATGGATAACCTTTGCTTATTTCTCAGGTGCTTTGAGATCTCAACCAGTTTAAAAATCAGCATGTCCACAACCAAGCTGATAGCTGTACAGGTCCCTCCCAGGTATCGCTTTGGCATTGGCCAGAAGATTGGGATGCAACACAGACTACCTTCTCAACAAAAACGTGGACCTCCCTCTCTACCTGGATGTACCTAGAAAGGCTCGAAGGGATGGAGTTGTCTTGAGGTTCGATCACAGACTAGCAACCTGGAAAGGTAGATTCCTTTACTTTCTCAAATATCCTGATCTATCACTTATCCCTCTTTTGAATGCTAGTGGCTATTGTGAGCATTTTATGATGCCTAAAGTGGTACTTCCTGTGGGTTGGTGCTAGACTCACATAAGTTTTATCTAGCACGGTGGGACACTGCATGTAAACCTAAAAGAGCAGGGCTCCGTTAGATTTGGACATTTGGTGATACGCCATGGCGAATCCACCACCAAAACAGGGAGAAGCAGCAGGTTCTGGAAGGATACTTGATGCAGTGAGAGATCCCTGGAGGTTGACTTCCCAAACCTCTTCATCTTAGCATCAGATCAAGGAGTTCCCATCTCCCAGACATACGAGTCGTCCGATGGTAGAGTTATCTAGTTACCGAGGTTTAGGAGAAACATCAATAACAATGTTTTTGGATCTTGTTGTCTTGCTGGAATGCCTTAAGCCCCACTTCATCCACCAATCTGGAAGAGAAAAAATAGTATGGCACCATTCCTCAACAGGTGTCTTTGTATCCTCCTATGCAGACCTGAACCCCAACTTGACCCTGGCACTTGGATCTAGAGCTTGGTTTCTCCCTGCCCACCTAAAGTTGACGCTTTTAATTGGATTGTCATAACCAGAAAAGCCCTCACAAATGACAAATTCGGAGACCAATCTACCTTCCCAGCAGATGCATCATGTGTAAGGACAGTGAGGAAACAAGAGACCATCTTTTCATTCATTGTGAAGTGCAGAGAACTTCAGTTGGGCTAAGTAACACCCAAACTGTACAACACCTTTTCTCCTCCCACTTCTCACCCGCTCTCTCTACTTCCGGCCTGCAAATGTGGTGGGGGTCTCTCCTATTTGTAGTCTGGACCATTTGGCTAGGGCACAACATGCACTTTTCAAAAATCAAGAACCCCAGACTAACGTGATCAAAGATTGTGTTGAAGCCAGCATTTTGTGGGCTCACACCTGCAAGAGCTTAGCGCATACTCCAAACCAGGCTTTAAACAGCAATGAGAAAAACTCCTATGGACTACGTTGATGACAATCTCACGGCCACTCATTGGATCCCACCTACCCCAGGTGTGATAAAACTCATCTTTAATGGCTGCGCTCCTGGCAACCCGCGGTCTAGCTGAGATTGGGGATACTTTCAGAAACTGTTCGGCCTAGACTGTCCAATCGGAGTCCCCAACACCACCATTGCTGAAGCCCAGGCCTTGCTGTGTGTTGGTGAAGAGTATTTTACGAATGAGATTAACTGAGCAAACAAATCTGCCCCCTGCCCTTGGAGACTGGAAGCCAGTTTTGAAGAAATTTTCGAGTTATGCAGCATTCTAGACAACTGTGGAGAGAAGCAAACACAAATGTCTGCTCCTTCATGAAAGACAGTGCTTCAGGCACAACGCTCGCAATCCATGGGCCTTATGACCTATAGATTGTTTCACATTTTACCCATTTTTTGTACAAACCTTCTATACCCAACACAGTTATGCATACCAAACTCCAATGGCAATCTGTACATCTCTTTTACTTTAACACAAAAAGTTAATTTCTTCAAAAAAATGAAAAATGTGATATTTGTTAAGAAATACATATATAAGCTAAAAAATCTTGCAACAGCTGGAACTTTACAAACTCCATTGAAATATTACATTATAATGATATCAGCACAGCCCTGATGAGATTTGCATGCATCACACAAAAGATGCCTAAGGCATTCCGATTCTAGGTATAGTGGTGTACCATACACATCCTTGTATACAATTTGAAGTCATCATTATCCACATGATCCTACACAAGTCATCCCTTGCAACGGAATGTGGCAAGTTACCTCCTTTGCCTGGAATGTTCACGAATAAGCTTATCAGTTAAGCTATTCCAAATTAGATATCACATTAACTAAAAATAAACATGCCACATTTAAGAGACACCAATAAAGATTTATATACAGCCACAACAGCAGCACAACAACAATATCACAGAAATGGAGTCATTTAGGCAACAAACTTCAACCAAATGCATCTGGAAAGGATTAACATTGTTTTTTCTTTCATGTTCAGGCTTGCTGAAACATCTAAAACAGCAAATGGTGATGAACAAACTTGAAAAGGAGAAACGAGAAAAAGATGAAAAATAAATGATAAGACACTTTACATGGAGCAACAGATCTCAATATTTCAATGAATCAAGGATATGAAAAGGCAAAACAATGGTGGGCCAGGAACAAGATGTTTACTTGGGGATTCTGGCATATTGATGATATGGGAAAACTAAACTTGCAACTTCAATGAAGAAATGAATCAGGAAAATAAAAAAGATGAATGCATGCAAGCAATTGAATGTTGCAGGGCTTAGAGTCGCAAAATTTAGTGGAGAAAAGAATCGGAGAAAAAAAAAGGATAAACAAATGCAAGCAGTTGAATTTTGTGACGAAAGTACCACGAAATTGAATGGAGAAATGAATCAGGGAAAAAAAAAAGTATAAAACAATGCAAAACAATCCAATTTGTGGTGAAAGAGCCATCTAAACCACAACATTTGAACTGAATAAGCATTCCCCAAAAGTTAAAAATAAAAAAGTTAATCATCATCTACATTCAAAATTAACAGCTAAACAAACTTGAAAATTTAAGAGAGAGAGAAAGACAGCATTCCCATGGCAAATTCACAAACAAAAAACAAACAGAATTAGAAAATGCAAAGAGAGAGAGAGAGAGAGAGACTTACTGGTCCCGATCCTTGTCAAGCATCGCCCTGTGCTTCTCGGCAAGCTTCTCAAGGGCATTATACACGGAGTCCCTTCCCCCGATAAGCAACCGTGTAATCACCTCCGGATCCCTCTCAAACCTCGCCTCCTCGAACTCGCGACGAGCATTCTCCCTCAGCACGACGCACCAGGGCACCCCTCTCTGATCAGGCCACAAGAAGAACCTTGTCGCCCTAATTATGTCCCTGTAGAGGCTCAAAGCCTCTCTTTCACTGCTCATGAGCCTCTGTCTCAGGACCGCTTCCTCCTCTTCGCCATTACAGCCGCCTTTCTTCTTCTCTTTCTTGACGAGATGCCGGTCGAGGAGCTCCTCCACTGTGTCGGGGCCGCTGTACAGTTGCCTGAGTGGGTCTTTCTTCAAAGCAGTCATGAGAGATTGGAATTTCCTCCATTTTGACAGAGACCTCATTATTTTCTCTCCATCTCCCTCTTTCCCATCTGCTACAAATCTCAGTAAAATGTTTGTTTTGGGTTTCACTTCACAATTGCGAATGGCCTGAAAAGCAGGACCATACTTAGCAAATCGCTCTTTAATCGGTTGTTTTTTTTTAAAAAAAAAAAAATACGCAGCTTTTATTGAAACAGTTTGTTAACGGCAACTTGTTTAAAAGTCGGAAAAAAAATCGCTTAATTCCATAAAAAGTTTAACACGCGTTTTTTTTTTTCATAATACGATTTAAATCAGGCCAAAAAATCGTATCTTTTTATCTATAATTTTTTTTGAAATAATTTTTTTTTTTCCCCATTTTGTGTATTGCAGTCATGCTGCTTTTATGCTTTTGAAAAAAAATAAAAAATAGCTTAAAATATTCATTTTTATCCTCACTGTGTTCTTCAGAGCTACAATTGCAGATTTAAGGTATGAATTTTTTTTTCCCCTTTTTCAAAAGAACTTAAACAAATAGATGCATAATTCAATTGTTACTATGGAAAATCATTGCGTAAATGAAATACTGATTATAGCAAATCATTTTGTAAAGTAAATCATTGTGTAAATGAAATACTGATTATAGCAAATCATTTTGTAAAGTAAATCATTGTGTAAAGAAAATCATATACATGCATATTTCTGTGATTATTTGTGATAATTTTTTTATGAAAATACTGTTTATGGTACAAGTTAGAGCTCAAAACATAGTCTTTTAACGAATGTGAAGCTAAGAGTGTGATTGCAGGACCAAGTAATCAATATTTTGTTTTTGATTATGTGATAACAAAGATAAACAATATAGCGTAAACGGTAAACTTACATGAGCAAGCAATTGTACATACTGGATTAGTTCCCCAAACTTAATCCTTCAGCTCTGCTTGTTGTTTCCACGAGAAAATGAAAACCTCTTCCTTTTCTACCTCTAAATATCATTCAGGGCCTCTTCAAAAACTTATTCCATTAGAGTTTGTGAAACAGATGACTTCTTCCTTCTTCCTTCTTCTCTCT